CACTAGAGAACAGCAATACGTTGGCAATTTTCTGCACAGCTCTGGATTTAAGGGCATCTCTGGGCTGGTGAAGCATCCCAACTCCTACAGCAAGTGTAGGGAAGTGAGGGACAATGCCCAGAACACAGGGCCTGCTTCATGGAGAGGAAATACCACCAGGGAAGCAGAGCATCAGAAACAGAGAGCACTTTTGCCAAGTTCATTAATAGTTCAACTTCCTCTCCATTAGATCTTTAACTATTGCAATGCCACCAAAAGCAGACCAACAAACAAGGAAAAATACCCTCCAAACAATGAGCAAAAAGCAGCCAAAGCCACTGCCACAATGGCCAGGTACACACAAACACAAAATCAAACTCTCTGCCAGCTTGTGTCATGTTATCTCAACAATGGGAAAAGAATTCTATGCCTAGACACATTAAATTTTCAGATCTCACTAAGCAAGCACAAGAGATTTCCGCAGCATTTTCATGTTGCTGTCATATTTGCATCAACTTCCTTTTGAAGTTCCTGTGAGAAAACACAGAGATAAAAGATGAACTGCTGTTCCCGTGCAAAACACTGAAGTGCAGATAAAGTGAGGATTACCAGACTTACATTTGGCTTTGCAGGAAAACACAATATGTGAAACTTTTGAAAATACCTAAAAATAGGTTGTCAGAGACAGGACTATAACTGTTGTAATCAGACTTTTAAGAGGTTATCTGATGAAAATAGGTCACAATAACTTGCAGGGCACCATAACAAAATTAATGCCAATGTATACTTGTCTTTAAAAAAAACCAAAAAACTGACTTTGAATCTATAGCTTAAACCAGACATTTGGTCTAAAAATTTGAGCAAAAAAGTCATTTTACTCAAAAGAATAATAAACTTCTCTAAGTAAATTGATGTGCTGCATTTATTTTTATCAGCTGACCTCTGTAATACCTTCCTAAACTCCATAATACAATGATGAGCTTCCACATTAGAAGTGAAAAGATCATTGAATGCTTTAACCTTCCAGAAATGAGAAAATAAAGTAGCTTTTTAATTAAAGATAGAATTTGACAAACTGAAATTATTTAATTTTTACATCAACATTTTTCATTATATTGCAGTGATATTTTCCTTTATCAGTTATGCTTTAATACCCTAATACAAAATATATTACCAGCAAATTATTTATTTAATTCTAATAATAAAATAAAAAATATGTGAACTACTGGAAAATTTTTAAGTGTAAAATTAGGAATCATTTTACTTTTCTCAAATTAAGAAATGCTGTCCAGAACTAATTCTGCATTTTATTTATTTTTTTGAAGTTATAAATAGAAGCTGTGTTTTAAAAGACAAAAGCCACGTATCATTAAACACTGAATTTTTGAATTTGAATTCCCTGTCACCCACACAGCACCTCCCCTGTCTCACTGCCAGGTCACTCCAATTTCCCCTGAGACAGGACAACCCTTCCCAGCGTGGTGACACTGTTCTTTCCTGGATTTTTTCCACCCAAGAGCTTTGGCTTTGCTGTTCTCTTTGCTGTTCAGGCATTGAGTGTCTCCTATTAAATCTCTGCTCTCCAACTTCACTGACCTTGTTAGATCCAGGTTTTTTAGTTGTGTTTCTGTTCAGACCACACACAAGTCCTGCAGAGCAGGCACTCAGCTGGCAGCACTATGCACTGTCTTGACTCACAGCAGATCTGCTAAGCCACCCTGTCTGACAATTTACTGCCACAGAAGCTGCTTGTTCTTTATTTATTCTTTTCTACTCTCTTGCTAAAAGACTTAAGCCAGCTGTAAAACCTGCCTGCGGAGAGCATGCCCTGGGCAGTAGCTCACTCCCCTCCACTCTCTTCCCCCAGGGGTCTGACTGCAAATACCACGACAGAAAAGCTCAGCCCAACACTATTAACAGGTGCTTTCCAAGTGTCTCTGGGGGAAAAGGGGGGAAAAATGGAATAAAATTTATCCACTGCTTCTATACAGCCAGAAAGTTGATGAGCCTCACTACAAGGAAAATCAAGGAAGGGTGGGGGAGGCAAGCACTAAAATGGGGAAAATAGTCATCAACTATCTTTCTTCTATCTTACAAAAATATTTTATCATTAAAATATTTATTAGATAACAGAGGCTTTTTGAAAATGAATGTCTTTTAAGAAAGAAACGCTTTGTCCTCTCAGGTATAACAACAGCAATTCCCAAAACTTTAAAGCAATTTGTAGAGAGGCAAGAGTCTTAGGTAAGAGAGAACTGGGGATGCTAACACAGAGAACTCCTAAACCCCATGCTTTATGGGAATTTGGGACACAATTACACACCACAGATTACATCTTGGCCCTGCTTGGAACCCTGATTCCAAATGTGATGGTGTTATCAAATGGTGCAATCAGCAGTGGGAGTGTTTGGAGGCAGACACTTCACTTGAGCACTTCTCAAAATTTCAGCAGAACACAACAACTGGAATGAAGAACAGTCCCACAGAGCACTTGAGGGGTTCTTGGGTTAGAGTGGGCAAGCAGTGACTGCAACAGGCTGGTTCATTCCTAGCAGGTAAAAAAGAAGCTGCCTTTCTAAAGTGTAATTTCAGCAGTATCCAAGAATCTTGTTCTGAATGTGGTGAACTTTGGATGAATGACTTCCAAAGACCATCAAAACTGAAATGATCCAGTTGCTTAAAAGGACCCCAAATCTACTTTATCCTCTTCACTGCTCTTGTGCCAAGCCAGGAAAGTATTTCCAATGCCAAATATTGTCTTAGGAGCTCCCACAGCAGCCCTGCAAGGCACAAGGCAGGGTTGTGCCCAACTATCAGCATCCCATTGGGTGAGCAGAGCAGAGCTTTACCAAGAGAGGATGAAAAGCCCAGCCTAGCACCACAGCTGCCTCTCCTAGAGCACAGCCCAGCATGAAAAGGTGTCACACAGACCATCTAGAAATTGCTCATTGCAGGAAAGATGCAATGGAAGATAGCAATGGTGCAAATTACTCTGTTTCCTCTGCCTTCATTAAGCTATCAAATGCCAACAACAACCTATCAGCTGTTGCTGTTTCAGGGTAATCTTCCTCTGACATTTTCAGTGAGAGATACATTTTTTATCTGCAGTTACTGCAGATTTTATGATTTTAAAACACCATTTTAGGTTACTCTTTCCTTTGACATGTTTATGAAAAGGTAGGGTGCTTATATTCCCTCTTTGCTCTCAATGCCACTCAAAGAATCGAGGCGGGCAAAAGTGTGAACTGCAGGCAAAATTACAGTTCTCTTCATTTAAAATAATAAAAGGTAAAGAAATTCAGAGTCTCTGGATTTCACTCCTATTTCTGCACTGAGGCAGAGCCACTCATGAGGGACATTGACAGATGTCATTTATAGGTATAATCTGCAAGTGCCACACTTAAATTTCATAGCATTTGAAACACCAAATGATAACACTGCAGTGAAAATGCTCTTACAGATGGTTTCCTGTACATAAGAGCAATCTGTGTATGATGCTAATTGCATTACTTGATTCCTTAACAGAGAACTTCATTTCACTACTTTAAATACCTGTGCACTTTAAATACCTGCATACAACTGCACAGAACTCAAGACACCCTGAGAGTGTCATGTTGGCACCTCTAACCATTTGGAGGTCCTCCTACAACTATTAATTTATTCATTATTTCCTAATATTTCTTGAACTAGTAATGTTGACATTTTTATATTAAAATGTTTAAATAGTAGGCCTCACTTTCCATCCATAATTAGAGAAAAGAGACATACACAAACTGAAGTTTTCAAGAATAAAAGATACAGCAACCTCAGAAACACCTGACCTGCTCCCTGAATAAAGCCAAGTCCTCTGGGATGAGGCAGAAAGTGATAATAAATTCAGGCTCCAGAGTGGAGAACACAACAATAATATCAAGCACTCAGATCTAAAAAGACAATGGTCTTTTTCAAAGTGCTTTCTGAAATGTGTATTTTCTCTGCTTTCTTTTTCTAAAAATATTACCCATTATTCTTACAATAAGAGACTAATGACAATAAGAATAATTTTCTCAGAGGCAGAATAATGTTTCAGTTTAAGTTTTTTGAATCTATGCATGAATAAAAATAGATTTTTCAAACAAAGTGCTTTAATATCAAACATATCAAGATAATGAAGGAATCAAGAAAAATCTGTGTTTTTCTATCAGTCTTAATTTAACCACAGAAATCAAGCACTTCATTTATTCCTTGGGAAAATACTAAAAGGTATTAAAAGCTGCTGTTGCTATTTGCTGTTAGTACACCAAGGACATTGAAGTTTACACCACGTTGCCAGGGATCCATTTATTGAGGAAACCTTTACTGCCACACCCAAGAGGGAAATTCACATTACCTCAGGTGTTTCACCCCAGAAACAGCCAGTGCTGAAAGTCACTACTTTGCTCTAGTAGTGACTACAGTGCCAAGTATGGCATTTGCCCAAATAAATCCAGGAATCCACCACTGGAATTCACACTCCGAACAATAATTTGTGAATCTGAAGATCACAGCGATCTACAAGATCAGTTCTTTTAATTTTGAGGGGGGAAAAAGCCCCATAAGCCTAAAAGATGAATGACCTGATGTCCTTAAACCCATTACACCTTTGGAATAAAATCATATTAACTAGAGAAATTTCCCAAGACTTCCACCTTTCTTTGAGGAGTATCTTTTACTAGCTAATAAAAAAAAATACAGCAAAAATGTTTGGATTTTTTTTTTTTTAACATACATTGAACAAAAAGGATGGAGGGAATTTCCCTTGTTTTGCACAAGCACTCTGACATCAGGCCAAGGTACCACAGGGAGTTGCTAAGCTCCTTTACTGGGCAGAGAGACTCTCAGGGGCAGAGTTGGAGCAAATCCCTCTTTACTTTGCACCTTCTCAATGAGCTAACCACCCCAGCCACAGTGAGTGCCCCAGTCAACACATCAGCCAGGGACCCTGGGCTTTGCAGGAGATTTTCTGAGTGCAGACATCACTGACCTGCTCAGAACCATTCAAGCTTTGTGCCTTCCAAGTATCTCCAGCAGCAGGTAAGAGTGGTGCTGGCACCCAGGAACTCCCACAGCTCCTCTTGTCATAGTTGAAAGTTCACACAAAAAGTCCACAGGTGTGGCACTAAACAATCCTGCAAAAAGAAGATTTTTGGTTTGTTTTTCTGACATCTAACCAGCTAAAAAAAAAAAAAAAGAAAATAAAACCAATTCAGCAATTTGCTTGCAGTTAATGAACCAGCTCCTTGCATACTTCAAGCATACAGCACAGCAGTCAGTGCCGCCACAGCACAAATACAGGCTGAAGATGATACCTAAGATCCAAAACAGCAACAAAAGAACTGTTTATTCCCAAGCAGCACCAAAATACTCCTTTTCCTGCTCCCTGAATCCCAGAGCAGCCTGTGCTGCTGGCAGGGTGATGGGAACTGCTGCAAGGTGGCTGTGACCCCATCAGACCCATGTGGGCAGCCACATGAGGCTGGTTTGGGGAGCTGCTCATCACAGTAAGGTTTTGAGGCTTTAAAGCATGACTGCTTGCTTGCCTGCCTACTTTTTGATAATTTTTATAATAAATCAAATAAAAGCCATTCGCAATCATGGGATTAATAGGGGCATTTTAAAGCAGTTATTAGGACTGAGGTGTTTTGTACAATGCTGTATGTTGTTCAGGATATTATTTAGTTATTATTTATTTTTTACTATCCTGCATATATTTAGATATTAATTTTAACCATTAAAAATAATACTTTGATCCTGGTGAGAAATACACAAATATCCTGGGTTTTAGCAGAAGCAGCTGATTCCATTGCCAGTATCACCCTGCTGTGACTCTCCTCCCACCCATTTTAGCTCTGCCATTTCCTTCAGGGACAAGGACAGACTGAATGGCCATTTTCAGTGAAACTACAGCCAAAGGCAGGTAACACCAGCATTACAAGTCTGCCCTCTGGAAGCATTACCCAGTTCATTCTCTTTTTTTATTTTACATATCAGCTTGTGTGAAGTTATTTGAAAACTAATGTAAAATTCAGAGAGGTGCTTTTTTTCATGCACAGCTTTTCTGTCTCTTTATAACATGTACAGCTTTCCTGTATTGTTACTCAATTGAGTCAAACAGTAAAATCCAGTACTCTTCTTCTGGGGAGAAGGAAGGCAGATGGATTTTTTGGGGCAGCAATGGGGACCACTCCAAAAACTTCTGGAAAGTTAAAACTCCTGAATAACATGCAATTTCTATTCTAAAAGATCTACTCAAGGAGTGTGTTGCACCTGGCATTTAAATGCTGATTTGAGAATAGTATATCTAGAAAAAAAATCACAACTTCTAGTCATTTAGTTCTACTTAACGTTAAACCTTTTTCTTAAAAACAGACAAAAACAACAACCACAAACAACACCCAGAATATCCCCACATTGTGACACAAAGTATATAAAGCTTATCTATGGCAAAACTGTGGTTTACCTTTTTATTAGCAATTACAGATCCTCAAGATTTACAATGTCAGTTCCTTCAAGTTCTGCTCATCATCTCAGACACAAATTGGACACTCAGCTGTCACAGTTGAGATGGCCACGATACACAGAGCATCACCACTCAATTTCAGAAAGCTTCAGCCCGTACAGAGCAACACCTCACCACTTCAGAAGGCTTCAGGCATCTGCCCTTCTTGTTCTTCAGCCCAGCCTTTTATCCCCTCATGCTGATGCCCTGCCCCTGTGTCCCTCTGCTCCCTTTGGTGGTTGCTCAGTGCCCCTGGGCACTCCATGGCTCCCTACCTTCAATGTCATTCACCTGTCCTGCACAGCTGTGCCATTGGGGATGAGGCTGGGCCCAGCCCCACACCAACCACCACAAACTGTGTGCCTACAGGTTCCTGTAAAAATTGAGTAATCCAAATTCAAAATTCTTCAGGTAAAAATGTATATTTGATCTGATTAAAACCTGCAAGGTTATGTTCAGGTAAGTAAGTTGGATGGGAGTTTTAGGTTTTTCACTAGTGAGTGAAAAAGGTATTTAAAAAAAAAATTATGTGCTCTCACTTTTGGGGATACAAGCACCAACATATGAATGCAAAACAAAGTTGATATTTAATTTTACATAAGACAATAAAATCATCTCTCTTTATAACCATAGAATACTTTAGGTTGGAAGGGACCTTAAAGATCACTTAGTGCCAAGCCCCCTGCCATAGGCAGGGACACCTTCCATTACCCCAGGTTGCTCCAAGACCCATCCAACCTTGCCTTGAACATTTCCAGGGATGGAGCAGCCACAGCTTCTCTGGGCACCCTGTGCCAGGGACTCACCACCCTCACAGTCAAGAATTTCTTCCCAGCATCTGATCTAATTTCTGCTCTTTCCTTTTGTACCCAGTATCACAGAAGTTTATCTACAGTTTATTACATTATGTGCGTGTGCTTAGGATAGAAAATTTGCCAGAGGGGAATGTGTAAGTGCAATTTCTGGGTTGTATGGAAATGGGCAATACAGAACTGGAACAAATCCTCATCCCTTCAGATTTACACCTCCATTTCTGTATCTAATTAGTGCAGATAAGCACCCACACTTCTGAAGCAGTAGCTTTTCTGCAACTGCTTTACCCTCTGAAAACTTCTTCATAACTTTTTATGTATTAAATATAGTAAATCAGAACTGTATTTCTTGCCATCAGCTCTCCAGCTCTGAAGGTAAAATCAAAGGCTGCATGCAACATGGTCAGTATTTAAAAAGCTATTAAGATCCTATCCACTCACTTTTATAAGCCCTCAGTGGGGATATAAAGGCTTCATTTTTCACAGCCTTCCCCCTGGGTCCTCTTCCCTGGGTCAACAGATTTCATCAGCATGAGGTGCCAGGGAATCATTTTGTGACTTAAAGTAAGAAAAGCAAAAGATAAACATCCAAAGATGTGGAAACATTCTAAAATACTGCAATATTTTCTAAAAAGTAGGAGTATAGGAATGTAGGGGTAAGGAAGGGAGGACATGGAGAGGGAGTTTGTACTATTGGGAAGGTGTTTATCATCACAGCTGTGAGCACCAGGATCCACCAGAGTCAGGGAGATACCTCCCATTAAACACTATTAAATTTTAAACAGCCACCATTAGTGCAGGAAATCTCTGATCCAGGGTGTTTCCATCCCCATTTTCCTCTGCTTATCTCCAGTTTCCATCTCCTGGCATCCATTAGGGGAGAGTGCAAGAAACAGGGTATGACTGAGGGAAAAGGGTCTTTGCTCTGACATCATACAGCCCTGTTCCCAGGATGTGCAGAGAAAATGCCACAAAGGGAAAGAGAACAAAACAAAGTCAGGAGACCAGAACAGCATTTCTAATAATGATGCCCTTATTTCCTGTTTTTTAGATGTTTTCTCTTAAGTGAACGTGACAGAATAGTAGCTCAGTGAGATATAAATACACATTTAATACTTGTGTAGTTCTGTAATTTAGGGGGATAACAGGAGCAGCCTTTAGAATAAAGACTGACAACTTCCTCCTCAATTAGTATGACAGCATCTGCCTATTGTACAACTTCAAAATGTGAAGATTTGGCTAAGATTTCACTAAGCACAGAGAAAGGAGCTCATAGCCAGCAAGAAGACAATGCCCAGCCTCTATACATGCCTCTCCTCTGTTGGAGAAAGGAGGACTCAGACACTTCACTCTAAAGTTTTTCACTCCTCTCTCTTCACTTTTACATGAGAAATGTGCATTTCAGATCATGGGCAAGGCATTCCATTTCCCTGACAGAGATGTCATTTCACACCTAAAAGGAACATCACAATTATAAAACACGTGCAAGGTCAATAGTGATGTGCAGGGAAGCACAACACTGGCTAAAAAAGCCCCAAAATAAGGAATTTTATTCTCTAGGTATTACAGATTTTGAGTCCTAACATGAGGTTGACCTCTGAGACTTCTTGTAATTACATTCTTTCTTTTCCCTAAATAATTATCTTTTGACTAAAATGTATTTTTCTTTATTCCCCCTTTACTTATACATATATGCTCCCCTGATAGGGAAGTGTTATTGAGTTGTGAATCAACTAAAGCCAGTGGAAGCAGTGAACTAAAGAAACAGGAAAAATATGAACCTTGATGGAGCAACATTCTAAATTTGAGGGTGTCTTCATGGCACTATCCAATAAAGATAAGAAATAAGTGAAAAACTTCTGCTTTAAAGAACTTTAACTCAGCCATGACTATTTCTTGCACAGAAATTGAATTAATACTCACTACTGTAAATCTGAGGGACAAGGTATGAGTATTCCACAGAATCTTTTCTTTTCCTAGATGCAGGAAACTGCAGGCCTAACCACAAACTGCACTGCACAGTTGCAACAAGCGACCTGCTGGGCAGGACTGTGGGAATGAATGCTGTAAAAGAGATGGTGATGCTGCTTTGCTCCAGCAGGTCATTGAAGCAAATACATTCCTGTTCTTCAGGCACTCGAGCAGTCCCTCTGAATGCTTATGCAAGCCTAAAGTTAGGAGGTGCATATATATACACTCATCCTGAATTCATGTTACATCTGGTTTTTATTGTACCAAAGGTACCTTTAAGCTCCCTGTGCTAGAATTGGACCACAACAGAAAGACATTTAACTATTTTTATTTTTACTGTCAGCATTTAACTATTGCTATGATCATTTTGTTCCTCCTGAGTAAAATAACAATAAGCTTTAGCCATCAGGTACCAGCCACTAGAATCTCAAGTACCAGAACTCACTCCAAGAGGCATTTCTATTTTTCAGCATCCTTGTTCTGATCTTGAGCTATGAAGCAATCCAATATTCTCTAGAAAGAAAGTGATATTTTCTGTTATTATTGCACTAGCAGGTTCTGTACTCCAGGTGTAGGGATTGCATTTCACTCTAAAACTCCCCGACCTTCATTAGTGCTTCAGGGAGCTTGAAAGCCAGATGGAATAACAAAAAAATTCAATAAAATACTCTTGTTCATATCTTTCCGGTTTTCAGAAACAACAGGGAAAATAATAGCCATCAGGTCCAAAGATTAATTTGAAATTAAATACTTGCAGGCAAATAGGTATAATAATTGCATTAAATCATATACTGCTTGTTTTTAAAAAGGACATGAAGTCTTATAATTAAATCAACATCTGGATCAT